CTGCTCTTGCATCATTTACATCCAATTGAGCTCTAGAAAGGAGTTCATGCTTCATCAGAATAATGGCAACTCTAATAGTCCATCCATGCTGCATAAAAGTGCCAGTCCAGATTCAGTGCTCTTGCCTCGGGAGAGTGGTTTGAACTCATAAACTCCTGCCTGGGAGGTGAGAAGGAAAGGGTATATGAGGAAGGACTTGAGGATAATGTTGCTCAAAATATACCTACGGCAAACACCGACTCCACATGCATCCTGCAAAGTTGTGACTTTATTAAACATACTTGACCCCACAGCAACACAATTGATATGTAACTGTTCTTTGGGTGATACATACTGGTCTATCCAATGATATTCACGAGCTGTGTAAAAGTAAAGGAGCCCAGACCATAGGGATATTCTGTTATGAGAGAGAGAAATGACTGCAATGGTTTAACCTGAGGGTCACCATGCCTCATGTGAGGGGAGAGGTTGAGAAAGACCAGCCCTTCATGGTAACCTCAGCCTGTGATGGAAATTGAACCCACTCTGTTGCAAACCAGCCATCAAAGCTAACCAATCTACCCTCCAACAATGAAAGGAAAAAACATTGAGTCATCAATGACAGAGCATTTAAGGAGGTTATACAAGGCTGTTGTGGTGCAGTGGTAGTTTCCCTGCCTCTGATCCAGGAGGCCCCAGTTTAAGTCCTGTCTGATTCCAGAGGTGTGTAATGACATCGCCGAACTAGGCGATTGGAAGATATCTATAAGGATATCATTCAGCCCATTGTGCATGTGGGCTCTGTGTTGGAGCTACCAACTATCATTCCCACCAATCCCTTCCAAATGCATGACCTCTCCCACCCAGAAGAACCAGGGCAGCAGAAACATGGGAATGCCACCACCTGCAAGTTCTCCAATAAACCACTCAGCGCCCTGACTTGGAAACATATTGCCATTCCATCAATATTGCTTAGTCAAAATCCCGGAATTCCTCTGCTAATATCGCTCTGAGTGTCCATACACTATACAGACCGCAGCGGTTCAAGAAGGCAGCTCACCACCGCCATCTGCAGGCCAGTTAGAGATAGGCAATAAATGATGGCTCAGCCAAAGTTGCCCACACCTTAATCAAGAAAAAAATCCTACTTCCATATTTTGTATCTATAACACAGATAATCCTTCTCCTCCGAATATTTACCCAATTCCTTTTGAAACCCCCAAATTGAATCTCCTCATAAGATCCATTCTGGACCATTATAAGTCACTGGGTAAAACTATTTTGGCCTCATGTTGACTCCAGGTATGTTAAATTTGTATCTGAATCTTCCACCACTGCGGAACAGTCACTCCTTTTTTTTTCCTTTATTCATTCATGGGATGAGCGTGTCACTGGCCAGGCAGCATTTATTGCCCAATCCCTAATTGCCCAGAGGGCAGTTAAGAGTCAACTACATTGCTGTGGGTCTGGAATCACATGTAGGCCAGACCAGGTAAGGATGGCAGTTTCCTTCCCTAAAGGACATTAGTGAATCAGATGGGTTGCCTGACAATTGGCAATGGATTCATGGCCATCATTCCAGATATTTTAAGTTATTTGAATTCAAATTCCACCAGTATTCAAACCTGGGTTCCCAGACCATTACTGGGTCTCTGGATTAACAGTCCAGCAATAACACTGCTAGGCCATCGCCTCCCCTAGTATAGTAGTACAGTAGCCATGAATCCATTGCCAATTGTCAGGAAAAACCCATCTGGTTCACTAATGTCCTGTAGGGAAGGAAACTGCCATCCTCACCTGTTCTGGCCTACATGTGACTCCAGACCCGCAGTAATGTGGTTGATTGTTAACTGCCCTAAAGGGGCAATATATGCTGGGCCTAGCCAGTGATGCCCACAGCCACTGAACAAATAACTTTTAAAAAAATCAGCAAGTGCATTTCGAAAGTGCTTCATTGGCCATGATGAGCTTTGGGACATCGTGTGTTTGTGAAAGGCACTATAAAATGCTCAACTTTCTCTGGAGAGAAACCCAGAACAAGTTTCTGAGATGAAAGCTCTGTTGTATATATTACATGTTGCGATTTGGATTTTAAAATAGAGACGGCTGGACATTGGTCAGTTCCATGAAAGTAATTTTTATAAACAGGTCAGAAAGTCATCTGGAACAGTGATCTTAGTGCTTCAATTCCAGAAAAATGTGTGACCTCAGTTAAGTGCCTGGGTCGTCTCTTGCTGGTTGATAGAATGTTTTTACTGTTTTATATATAATACACCAGAAAGCCATAAGGTTTAGGTTTGTCTAAAACTCATCTTACACGATCAACAGATCCTTCTATTCCATTCCCCCTTATATATTTACCCACGTTAGCACTGATAACAGAAAGAAACATTTCTCAGTGATATGTCAACTGGCAGCCAGGATGAAACATAATGCAGTTGTGTGTTCAGAGATTTGTCAGTTCATTTCATTTACCAATTTATTGAAGAATCCAACAGACAAAAAGCAATTATACACAAATATTACATTCACCAGGCACATAAGTGCCTGGGCTAACTTTAAAGTTCTTAGTTTATAACACAGCAACCTGCTTCCTGTAGAGTGTCATGCTTCCTGTGATCTGAGGTAAGATGGAGTCTGAGATCTTCATGCCCTCAGGTCTCATGCTATGATACAGCAATGGTCATGTCTCTTAAAGGTATATTGACATACGCACTGTCAGACATAACATCATAGAGGAGGTTACAGAGGTAACAAAATGTGAGGCAATTTGAGATTTGAAATTGAGAAGATTGGAGGCATCCCTGAGAAGCTTTAATGTTTAAAAATGATTTGTGTGAGCTGAAGATGTTAATGAAATCCCATTACATCCTCACCTCACCCTCAATGAAAACAAACAAACTGGACAGGAAAATACCCCCTGAGGAATCCATATTGGCAATCTGTGATAGTCTTATTTATTTTTGCCATTATGCTTTGTGATTTAATCTTTAATAAGGGTCCATATAACTTTACCTAAAATGGGGGCACTTCACTGCTCTGTAACATGCTGGGTCATTTTGGCTCTCTTTCTTAAACATGTTTTTAGAAGCCCGTTGACATCTTTTTCCTGACATCCACAGACAACTGTGTGGAGAATTCTAAAGGTGTTTTTGATTTGACTTGATTTATTATTGTCACTTTCACCTAGGTACAGTGCAGAGTTTTGTTTTGCATGGAGTACAGGCAGATCGTACTATACAATGTGCATTATCGCAACAGAACAGAGCGAGGAATACAATGTTATGGCTGCAGAGAAGGTGCACAAAGAGTGAGATAAAAATTAAATTTGAAATTTGAGAGGTCCATTCAGAAGTCGAAAAACAGCGGGGAAGAAGCTAATATTGAATCTGTTGGTCCACGTGTGTTTAAGCTTTAGCTGGGTTGAGCTACAAGAGTGTTTTTTGGTTGGGATTAACTCTGGTTGGAGTCCTTGGAATTAGAAATGCAATGGCTTGTTTTTATGATAGAACAGTTGTACCAAGGCTGAAAGGAAGAATTTAAAAGCCAGTGGCTGTATGATACAGAAACCTGGTAAACATCAAGGAAGGAGGGATGAGAACTGGGTACTAATAAGATTCGTGCATCAGGGGGTTTGTGAAATTCATGGGAGCAGCAAGGAAAGCAGCCAGGAAGGGATCGAAATGGTGTGGTCATCTGTTTTAAAGGGATAGGAAATGTGAGGCAAGTGATGGGGATGGGATTCTCAGGGAGGAGAACAGAAAGATTCCAGAGCAGATCGAAAGGTACGGCGGTGAGATACTTAACTTCAGCTGACTTGGAAGAGGAATGGGATAGTGCCAGGAGGAGATGGAGAAGGGGGATCATCTACCATTAATAAAAGGAGAGAAGAGGAGAAGATCTCACCTCCTGACTCCCCAGAGTCTACCCACAAGGCACAGGTCAGGTGTTTGATGGAGCAGGGTTAGCTCAGTTAGGCAATGGCTCGTTTGTGATGCAGCATTACACCAATAGTGTGGGTTCAGTTCCTGCGCCATCTGAGCTCACCGTGAAGGATTTTTTTTGTCAACTTCTCCTCTCACCTGAGGGGCGGTGACCCTCAGGTTAAACCACCACCAGCTGTCTTTCACTCATGAGAGAGCAGTCTATGATCTGGTACGATTATGGTGGTTTTACCTTTACTCCCCAGTTGCCTGGATAAGTGCAGCTCCAACAATACTCAAGAGGCTTGACACCATCCAGGACAAAGCAGCCCACACAGAGTTGGAACCACATCCACAAATATCCACTCCCTGTACAATCGACACTAAGTAATAGCTGTGTGTACCATCTGCAAAATGGAATAGCCTGTATTGCCCTACATCTTAGGAATGAATACAAATTGAAGAGGAAGAACAGTGTTACTTTGGAAGGTGGGCTATGTTGCAATGATGCCGTGCAAAGTGTTTCAGTATATTTTGGCCATTCGGATCCCATCTTATCTTCCTTGTACTGTTGAATTCCAGGCAAAGGCCAATATAAGTGAGTGATGGCCTGCGCTGATTACATGGGGAGATGTCCAGGACTAAGCACTGTGCTCGTTAAGGGTGATCATCCAGGGAACTGGCTCAGCACAGGTTGAGTGAGCTTTCTGATCTCATACAGTCATACAGCTCGGAAACAGACTCTTCAGTCCAACCAGTCCATGCTGACCATAATCCCAAACTAAATGAGTCCTGCTCCTGGTTCATATCCCTCCAAACTTTTCCTATTCATGTACTTACCCAAATTTTTTTTTAACATTGTAATTGCGCTCATATCCACCACTTCCTCAGGAAGTTCATTCCCACATAAACAACCCTCTGTGTAAACAAAAATTGCCCCTCATGTCTTTTTTAAACCCCTCTCCACTTTCCTTATAAGTGTGTCCCCTAGTCTTGAAACACCCCCATCCTAGAGAAAATATAACTACCATTAACCCTATCTATACCCCTCATTATTTTATAAGCTTCTATAAGGTCAGCTCTCAACTCCCTAAGGTCCAGTGGAAAAATGTCCCAACCTATCCAGCCTTTCTTTATAACTCAAACTTTCCATGCCCAGCAACATCCTGGTAAATCTCCTCTGAACCCTCTCCAGCTTCTTGTCTAGCTGAGTAGTATGTTCCTTATTGTATAGGGTCCTATATCAGGCTAGGCTTGTTAATATATCCAAGGTCAGTCCTTCAGTATTTCCACTTAAAAACAAAAACCTCATATTCAGTCCCCAGAGGCTGAAGAATGAGGGAAAACTTTGGTTTTGCCACTGAGAGATGGCTATCAGTGTTACATCTGTCCTGAGCCAGCAGAGGGAGACGCGTTCTAGGATATCAGAATGCAGCGCCAGGGAACAGTGCAACTGCTTATGCTCAGCGAGAGTGGAGGAGTAAATGTTTCAGAGCCAGTCACAATAACTGGCCTTTGATGAGCCAATTTTGATATGTGCCGCCATGCCTTACATATGCAAAGTAAAGCAATGCTTCAGTTAGATCCCTCTCCTGCAAGCTCCTGAACTGTGATCGTTTGTTGCTCCCTTCTGGAGGCATGGGAGCTGAAACCGAAGAAACGTTTGTGCTTCAGCTACTGTGGTTAATGCCGTTGGTGCCGAGCCGGAACAGCAGAGCTTCGGGTCCTGGTAGAGAATTTGAAGCTGCAATTACTTTGCATTGCTGGAGGCCTGCTGTATTGTCTTCCTGATTCTATGTTAATGCCAAGGCAAGGTTTGCTCCCTTGAACTAAAAATCCCATGCTCCTCTTTTGCATGTTTGCTAGACCATCTTCAAAAATACTTCATTGCCTTGCAAGTGCTGTAGGACATTCTGTAGGCTCAAAAGGTGCTACATCAATGCAAGTCCTTCTTGTTTTTGTAAACATTCTTAGAGCACCAGTAGCCAGCAGTCTGTGAGAATAGAAAAGGATGAAATCGCTGTAATCCTACCAGTCCATAGAGCTGTGCTCTCATCAAGGATGGACAAATGGTGGCTCAGTGTGTTAGCACTGCTGTCTCACAGCACCAGTGACCCGGGTTCGATTCTACCCTGGGATCTTTCTTATTTACATAAACGATCTGGATGTGAATGTACAAGGCATGGTTAGTAAGTTTGCAGATGGTACAAAATTAGGAGGTATCGTTGATAGCGAGGAACGTTACCAAAAATTACAGAGGCATCTCGATCAGATGGAGAAGTGGGCTGAGGATTGGTAAATGCAGTTCAATACAGATAAGTGTGAGGTGTTGCGCTTTGGAAAGTCAAACCAAGGTAGGACTTATACAGTAAATGGTTAGCTCCTGAGGAGTGTTGTGGAACAGAGGGATCTAGGAGCACAAGTACATTGTTCATTGAAAGCAGCGTCACAGGTGAACAGGGTGTTGAAGAAGGCATTTAGTGTGCTGGGCTTCATCAGTCGAGGTATTGCGTACAGGAGTTGGCACGTTATGTTACAGCTGTATAAGTCGTTGGTGAGGGTGCACTTGGAGTATTGTGTATAGTTTTGGTCACCCTGTTATAGGAAAGATGTTGTGAAACTTGAAAGGGTTCAGGAAAGATTTACAAGGATGTTGCCAGTGTTGGAGGGTTTGAGCTACAGGGAGCGGCTGAATAGGCTGGGGCTATTTTCCCTGGAGTGTCACAGGCTGAGCTGCGACTTTACAGAGGTTATAAAATCATGAGGGACATGGATAAGGTGAATAGCCAAGGTCTTTTTCCTCAGGTAAGGGAGTCCAAAACTAGAGGGCATAGGTTTAAGGTGAGAGGGGAAAGATTTAAAAGGGTCAACTATTTGCAGAGGGTGGTGTGTGTATGGAATGAGCTGCCAGAGGAAGTGGTGGAGGCGGGTACAATTATAACATTTAAAAGGCATTTGGATGGGTATATAAATAGGAAGGGTTTAGAGGGATATGGGCCAAATACTGGCAAGTGGCACTAGATTAATTTAGGATATCGGGTCAGCATGAATGAGTCGGACCGAAGGGTCTGTTTTTGTGCTGTGCATCTCTATGACTTGCAAAGCGCCCAGCCTCTTTTGATAATTCCCAATATAATATCAGAATTCTCACCACTCTTCACATAAAGAAGTTTCTCTTGAGTTCCCTACTGTGTTGGTTAATGGCTGTCCCCTGTCGATGGTCCCAGTTTTGCTTGGGATTCAAATAAAGGATTCAAAAATCAAATCTCTGCTGCCGAAAACTACCACATCTCCCTGCAGCTTGTGGTTGTCAGTGGGTAAAGGAAGCTGGAGATTAATAGATTTTTCTAACTGAGAGATATATAAAGAATGGGGTCAACATAGTTGGTTACAGACCAGCCATGATCCAACTGAATGGTGGCATGGATCTACAAGGGCCAATTAGCCCACTCCCAATCAAACATACGTAAACCAACCTCTGCACTGCTGATCATGAGATAAAGCACAGCATGATCCACCTCCTTACCTTCGAATCACAAGCCTTCTCTGAAGAGAAATCCACATCATTGCAGCTCACGGGTCATCATTCTGTACCTTCCTGCTCCTTAGCTGCAACTTATATGGTCGTGGCGTCATCACGATTTTGAACAAGCCTTTGAGGTCTGGGGGTGTGGTTTTATCAGGCCAATGAAACTCAAACTTCTGAAGCAGCGAGGTGAAGAACAGGAAGAGCTCCATTTTGGCTAGTTTCTCCCCAAGGCACGCTCGCAAACCTGTCACGTGTGTCGGGAGGTGGAAGAAGATTTATTTAGTCAGGTCTACGGGCAGTTACGATCTTCCACAACATGGGCAGGATACTCCAATACCTCATCGGGATTGAGCACGGATGCTGGTGGGGTGCTACGGTTTATGTCTTCGGCCTTTTGCCAGCACCACCCTCCCCCGGCGTCCTGGAGGTAGTCAGCAAGTTCACCCAACTGTAAGAGCTGGGTAGGTACCTGACCGCTTAAAGCCAACCTGAATCACTTGGCCCTTTAGGTCCTGGCGGGGCTAGGCCTAGGAAGCCTCTTGAGGAGGCCGGCCTTCTGGGCAGGCTTTGAGGCCCTCTCCCAGCTGCCCAGTTTCAATCACAACTAAGAGCCCCGTGGTGGGGGGAGGATGGGGGAGACTCATGTACCCAAGAATACTAAATGAATCACAGAATCCCTACAGTGTGGAAGCAGGCCACTCAGCCCATCCAATCCACACTGGCCCTCTGAAGAGCACCCCACCCAGACTCATCCCCCTGCCCAATCCCTATAACCCCGTATTGCCCATGGCTAACCCACCTAGCCTGCACATCCCTAGACACTATGGGGCAATTTAGCACGGCCAATCCACCCTAACCTGCACATCTTTGGACTGTGGGAGGAAACCGGAGCACCCAGAGGAAGCCCACACAGACATGGGGAGAACGTGCAAACTCCACACAGGCACCGAAGGTGGGATTGAACTGGGGGGGCGTAGCCTCAAAATAAGGGGGTGCAGATTTAGGACTGAGTTGAGGAGGAACATCTTCACCCAAAGGGTTGTGAATCTGTGGAATTCCCTGTCCAGTGAAGCAGTTGAGGCTACCTCGTTGAGTGTTTTTAAAGTAAAATAGATAATTTTTTGAACAGTAAAGGAATTAAGGGTTATGGAGAGCGGGCAGGTAAGTGGAGCTGAGTCCATGAAAAAGATCAGCCATGATCTTATTGAATGGCAGAGGGCCCAAATGGGCCTACTCCTGCTCCTATTTCTTATGAAGCCGGATTCCTGGTGCTGTGAGGCAGCGGTGCTAACCACTGAGCCACTGGGCTGTGGTTATGCTTTCTTTTGATGTGTGTACAAGTTTAAGAAGTTGTGGAAATTCTGCCTCCATCTTGAGGCACCTTCTTTCTCTATATCTCTCTCTGGCTCTCATCTGAAAGTGGATACTTCTTCCAAGCTGCCAGAGAGACCGCCTGCTGCCCTTAACTGTACAGTGAACACAACCCTCTGGCCATTAATTAACCAGTTTGGAAAAACATCATTGTTTTCCCTTCAAGGTACAGATCACATTGCACTCTGATGTTAGGGTCTGAATGCCTGCAGGGGGTAATTCCTGCCTCATTCTCCAAATTCTCTCAATGGCAGACCATAGCACAACTGCCACGGTCCACTCACTGAGAAAACAAACAGCACAACGATGACAGAATGGACGTCTATAAACATTGGAATGGTACGTTTGTTCTCTTCACAATGGCACAGCTCACTCGTTTGGAGGTCCAATGGGGTAAGGTGAAAATCCGCACGGTTCTGAAATCCGAATTTTAACCACCAATCGTTCACTTACTCACCCATTGAGAAAGGGATGAACGCGTCTGGTTTGAAAAACTCTCCTTTTTCATTCAGAAAGTTCTCGGGGTTGAACTGGTTTGGATGCTTCCATTGGCTCTCCTCAAGCAAGACTGATGACAGGTTTATTAAAACAACAGTGCCCTGGAATAACAGCACAAAATAATGCAGAGGTACCTGGTTATATGGAAACATGGAGCTCATTTCATGCACATGCTATTAATTTCATAGCCTGGGTTTTTCAATCAGGTATATAATGAAAAAACATATTCCCCCTCATGTACCATCAGCTGGAGAGATCTGTTGACTGCTAACATCTCTGCCTGTAATCTACAGGCGTTTACACACAAGGGGAAAAAGATAGGTTTCTAAGCAAAGAAAGGCTTCATGCTAGATTCTGATGTTTGCTTACACCCTGAAGTCCAGTTTGAAACCTTACCCTCATCTGTAGATGATCCAGTTTTCAATATGATTGCCAAAGTTTCATTGACCTGAAAGATTTTACACTGTTCCCTTCTCTACAGATTGGGTGGCGCAGTGGCCCAGTGGTTAGCACTATTGTCTCGCAGCACTGGGGACCTGGGTTTGATTCCAGCCTCAGGTGTGATGCTGCTTTCATGTTAACTACATTATTCCATTGAGGTTTCTCTTTCAGCTCCTTTTGCAGTCTATGACATTTTTAGCAGATGTATAACAATGCAAGTTTATGTCCCTGGTTCCTTTCACTTCCTAGAGTCTCACTTCTACATGCCAAATCAGGCTGAGATCCTCGAAAATCATTCCATATATGTGTTAGTCTAACGGCCTCTAACACCTGAAGGAGGAGAAAGACTCCAAAAGCTTGTGATTTCAAATAAACCTGTTGGACTATAACCTGGAGTCGTGCAATTTCTGAACTTGTCCCCCCCAGTCCAACACCAGCACCTCCACATCATCCTTTCATACAGAAGACCAACTACTACAGACTTTCTGATTAGTTATTAACATGCAATAGCTTACTGTGCTCATCATAATAGTAGATGCTTTAGTCTCTCTCTCTCTCTCTCTCTCAGGGATTGGGGACATATTTTTAAGGTGAGAGGAGAAAGATTTAAAAAGGACATGAGGGGCAACATTTTCACACGGAGAGTAGTTCGTGTGTGGAATGAACTGCCAGAGGAAGTGGTGGATGTGGGTACAGTTACAATGCTTAAAAGATAAGGTCAAAAATTACATGAAACCACGTTATAGTCCAACAGGTTTATTTGAAAACGCAAGCTTTTGGAGTCTCGCTCCTTCCTCAGATGTTAGTGAGAGAGGTGGCATCAACCACAGAATTTATAAGTAAAAGATCAAAGGGTCATAGAACTGATGCGAATATATTGAACAAACCTAAGATGGCTGTTAGATCTTTAATCAGTTGGAAAGGAGATACAGGTTTCAATTGATTAATATGCAAATCCCAGAATTTCTTTCGGTTACTGACCTGAGATAACTTAAGGTTTTATGTGCCATCTCAGGTCAGACAATGCATTTTGGGTGTAAGGCCTTGTTTAGAATCTGACTGTGTTTTAACTTGGAGTCAGACTGGTTTTATTTCTAAAGAAGGAATTTATAAAATGCTACATTGACTCTCTGTGTACAAATTGTGTGCTTTTTGAACATTCACATTAGTTCTATGACCCTTTGATCTTTTGTTTATAAATTCCGTGCCTGATACTAACCTCGCTCACTAACACCTTAAGGAGGAGTGAGGTTCTGAAACCTTGTGATTTCAGATAAAGCTGTTGGACTATAACCTGGTGTCATGTGATTTCTGACCTTGTCCCCCCCAGTCCAACACCGGCACCTCCACATCGTAATGTTTAAAAGTCATTTTGATAAGTTCATGAATAGGAAAGGTTTGGAGGGAAGGAACCAAGTGCAGGCAGGTGGGACTAGTTCAGTTTGGGATTAAGGTCAACATGGACTGTTTGGACTGAAGGGTCTGATTGCATGTTGTATGAGTAAGACACTATGACTGGCCCAAGAGACCTGTTTCTGTCCTGTAATCAGGGAAAAGCACAACCCTAGGAAAGAATAAATCACCTTTTTCAATGTGTATCCCATAAATTCAGTGTCTTGTGTTGTAGCATGACTGACTGCAAACGGAAGAATGTTGCCAAATCTTTGGATCTCGTGAATGACAGCGTTAACATATGGCATGTCGGGCCTATTGCTCAAAGATGGGGCACGGGAGCTGCCAATCACCTGGTCGATCTCCTTCTGACACTTCTCTGTAAAACAAAAGAGGAATATCAATATAAACAACAAAAACAGAAATTGCTGGAGAAAGTCAGCAGATCTGGCAGCAAATGTAGGAAGAATGCAGAGCTAACATTTTGAGTACTTCACTGGAAAAGTTAGCAGCTGGGAAAAAACATGGGGTTTATGCTGAAGGTGACGTTGGGATAGTGTGGGTGGGGTAAGAGGTGAGTGGTTGTGTGGAGCCCAGAGACAGAGAGAGAAAAAAATGAATGGGACAGGTAAACAAGAAGATTATGGATGGCAGACCAGAGCAGAAGAAATGCTGAATAAGTGACAATGAGAACTGAGAGTAGCAGAGAATGGGTTAGCTGTACTGAAGGCAACCCACATAATGTGAGAATGGGCCTAGGAGTAGGTTTAGATTTAGAGTTTATTGTCATATGTACTCAAGTACAAAAGTACAGGAGTACAGGGGAAAGTTTTTAGTGCCACCACAGACGGCACCATCATAGGTACAAGACCGAGGTGCAAAAACGTAAGAACAAGGTAGAAAGAAGTTAGGAATAGAGTGAGAATGGGTGACTGCGTGACATGTCATAACAGGACCCCAGGTGTGGGGGTGGGTGAAAAACATGGAAGGATGGAATCAGGCTGCAAAGTTATTCAACTCGATGTTGAATCCTAGAATTTGCAGGGTCTCCAAGCAGAAAATGAGATGTCATTCTTCAAGCTCATGCTGAAGCTTGCTGGAGCACTGTGAATGAGATGTTGGCGTAAGAACATGGTGGTGTGTTGAAGTGATAGGCAAAACTGTAAGCTTGGGGTCATTTTTACAGGCAGAGTGTAGGTGGTTTGCAAAGTGGTCAACAAGTCTGTGTTTTGACTCCCTAGTGCAGAGGGGACCACATTGTAAGCAACGATTACAGTAGATTAGATCGAGCGAAGTGCAGGTAAACTGCTGCTCCACCTGTAAGGTGTGTCTGGGGCCTTGGATGGTGAGGAGGGAGGAGGTAAATGAGCAGGTGTGACACCTTTTCTGAAGAAGGGTCCCGACCCAAAACGTCAGCTTTCCTGATCCTCTGATGCTGCCTGGCCTGCTGTGTTCATCCAGCTCCACAACTTGTTATCTCTGACTCCAGCATCGGCAGTTCCAAAAATCTCTGAGGTGTTACACCTTCTGTGATTACCCTGGGGAGATGCCGTGGGTGTATGAGGACTTGTTGGGAATGGATAAAGAATGGACCAGGTTGTCTTGGGTAGAATGGTCCCGCTGTGGAATGCAGATAAGAAGTATTGGGGAGGTGAGAGATGGGTCCTGGGGTGTGAGGGATGAGTATTGGGGAGGTGAGAGATGGGTGATGGGGTGTGAGGGATGAGTATTGGGAGGCGAGAGATAGGTGACGGGGGTGTGAGGGATGAGTATTGGGGAGTGTGAGATGGGTGATGGGG